CGCGGTCGTCCACTGGAGCAGATGGACGACCTCCATAGGTCACGCTGGTCGGGCATGTGTTACGCATGTCAGCAGATAGTTTGCCGCGGCGAAGGGCGTTTCCCAAGGCCGTTAGCGGAGGGAAAAAGATAAAGGGTGATCAAACTAAGATCTGACATGAGGGCATGAAAACCCCAAGCAAGAGACTAGGTCACATAGGTCCCGTTAGGCTCCATGGCTGGGGCCCTCGGGATGATGGTCACAAATGGTTGGAGACACAGAATGATATGGCTGGGTGTCGTGAACAGTGGCGTTTGTGCATTCACTCATCATTCCCCTATCGCCATTCTGTATGAATTCTCCATCTTCCGATTGAATTTGCTTTCAACATTCCAATCTTCATTCTGCTCTTTTACCCAAATGTGGCACCAAAAGACAGCAACCAAAACCGGCGCACAAAAGTGTAGGGTTAATGGTTGTAAAAACTGAACTGAACGTTGGTCATGGCTTGCAATAATAACTACGCAAACATGGTCCTGAGAGAAATTAGTCCGTTGTAAATCGTGTCTGATAAAAAGCTCCGTCCATTATGGGTACGCGTCCCCCTTTCGTTGTTCAAATTAAAACTTATGCAATTACAAAGGATCGTCTAACTAGGGACAGGGATAACCATCAGTGTGAGCTGTTAACTGACCAACAGCATTCCGATGGAGTCCTACATGATAATTAACGGAAGTGAAAAATAGAATAGACAAACACCAGGCACAGGAATGAATAGAATCAAAAACAGATCACGAGGACCTACCATGAAATGAGCCACTAGACTACCGAATTCGCAGTGGTCATGTACATTGATGTAGCTCAGTCCAGAAAGTGACTCCGAAGAGAAGTGATCCGTATCGGCTGACTGAACAGTTGGTAGTTTTGTATCCTCAACAGAACTTGTTTCCAACAGAGTAAGTTGCATCGTAGCGGCCTCAGTTTTTTTCCATGCAAGAAACTGTGCGTGCATTGTGGCCAGATCAATCACTGTCACATAGCCTGGAGATAAATCATTCGATCCCGGATCAGGGAATTCCCCGGTCACTGAGAAACTGGTGTCTGCGAGACCGGCACCTGGCGATCCCGACAAACCGGTTCGAAGAAAGTCTGATTTATTTGAAGGTGAAGTCCCTGACAGTCCAGTAGCAGTTCCGGACACGACAGTGCCAGCAAAGGCAGTGATACCACTCCATATTCGCTATTGAAAATGGATCAGAGTCAAGGAATAGTAAAGAAATTCAACTATCACCATTAGTCGTTGAAACAAAATAACCACCCACGGATCCGTGCTTGTACGATTACGTCAAAACGAACTATGTCATCAAGTAAAAATATCATTAAAAGACAAATTAGAGTAAAATTAAAACAGCTGAGAAATAAGCATAATTATACGGCCACACGTTGAAACTTTTAGCCGAAATACGGAAATCCATTTGTCCGCTTCACTTCAAACCATGTTCTGTGACAGTTTCGCTGTCGTCAGGTCTAACACCGCATCTATGACATATTAGTGGAGCCTTGTGTTTCTCTATAACAAATCCGGTACATAACGGGTCTCGTGATTATACATTTGATCTATTTTCCTGCGCATTTACAGCAAATATAACAGATATTTTCCTAATTCCGATACAAGAGAGAACATGGCTCATTCTCGATCATTTCAGTTTTGTACACTGCGTAGACCATTGTGCATCACATTAATTGGATCCGCGAGACGATCCTTTATAGTGCAGACCAATTTGTGATGAAAAGAAGACGAGGTAAAAACCACAGGTCAGGAGGAACTGTAGTTCACTCCGACAACCTAAATCCCGGTAAGCGAAAATCATGTAAGACTCCCAAGGATTGGAGTGCTACTGAGATGTCGAGAGCAAAGTTGAGTGGTGATGGTAGGACCTAAGGAATGTGGGTGATGGCCACTCAAACCGCTTGAGTATCACCAAAATGATCTGGATACAGTGGCAATAATACACAGGGTGAAACAAATCCCGCCGAGGTTAAACGACCAGCAGTCACACTGTCCGATGCAACATATGACAGCGCGCAAATCCCTTAAATGCCAGCTAATCAAGAGTCTGAGGAATGACCGCGAGAAGTGGAAGATAGGAAAATGTAAAGAGATGGAGAAGGCTGCGGCTATTGGTAATAGTCACCATCTTTTTCGTTTAACTAGGAGTAGAGAACCAAGGAAAGCGGGCGTGAGGCAATTAAGGAGTCTGACGACACACTGATTCAAATTCAGGAAAGCTGTCTTGACCGTTGGGAAGAACATTTTAAAGCACAGTTCACCTGGTCACCGTCGACACAAGATTCCCCCCCCCACACACACACACACACCCGGTTCAACCGTGCAAATACAGCCAGTTGATGCCAGTCCTCCATCTGAAATAGAAGTTACCCGGGAAATAAGTTATCTAAAAAGACACAAGGCCTCAAGCCCCGACGGGCTGTCCCCATCCGTTTTTAAGGATGGAGGTTCAGCCTTAGTCTCGGAGTTAACAAAGTTCCTTGGCTCAGTGTGAGAAAGGGAGCAGGTTCCAAATGAATGGTGTGTATCGGCCATCATACCGATTTACAAGATAGGTGACAGATCCTCTTGTGAAAACCACAGAGGAATTAGTTTATTCAGCATTGCATCTAAACTTCTCACTGGGATCATACTCCGTCGAGTGTCTGCCGCACGTAAACGGTGCACGCGTGAGAACCAGGCTGGCTTTAGGCCTGGTCGAGGTCTTATCGACCACATCTTCACTCTTCGCCAAATTTAAGAGCATCAACATTCTTTTCGTAGACCCACCATCTCTGTCTTCCTCGATCTGAAAGCGGCTTTAGACTCAGTCGATCGCTCTAAACTCTGGCGCTGCCTTTCCCTGAAAGGTGTACCCGAGAAATTAATTTCAGTATCACAATCCCTTTATACTAATAGTCGAAGCCGAATCCGAGCTTACGGCACCTTTTCGCCCGAATCTACCACGGAAAGTGGTGTTCCTCAGGGTTGCCCTCTTCTTTTCTATTCAACGTTGTTATTGATCTGGTTATGGAAACAGCCCTATCCTCGTCCGAGAATAGTAGCATCGATTTGCTTCCAGGTGGAAAACTGTCTGATCTAGAGTATGCAGACGACTTTGTGCTACTAAGTGAAGATGCAGGTAAGTTGCAAGCTTTTCTGGATAATTTGAGTGCTAGTGTAGCCATGTTCGGTATGCGTTTTGCACCTTCAAAGTGTAAAATGTTACTACAAGAGTGGATTGATCCAGCACCCAGCCTTACTCTAACTGGGGAAGTAATAGAGCAAATGAATAAGTTTTGTTGCTTGGACAGCTACATTTCACCCGGTGGACGCATCATGAATGAAGTGTCAGCTCGCATACAGAAGGATCGATTGGCATTTGCCAACTTGAGACATCTGTGGCACCGTCGCGACGTCCGGTTGTCTATTAAGAGTTGAGTGTATGATGCGGCAGTTCGGCCAGTTCTGCTATATGGAGCAGAGACCTGGCCATTAAGAAAACAGGATAAAGGTAGACTGTCGATGTTTGAACATCGATGTCTACGCAGCGTTACACGAATCTGATGGGGCAGCCGAACGAGTTATGCTGAGGTTAGGCGTAGAGTTTTAGGCATTCGCGGTCGTCCACTGGAGCAGATGGACGACCTCTATAGATTACCTGCTGACGTTGGTGCGAACAACCAAGAAGAGTGTGTGCGCTATCTGGAGGTTTGGATAGATAGCAGTTCTGTACTGTGGCCTATGAGATACATGGTTTCGTACTTTGGTTCGGGAGTTTTGTACGTCTTTCATGAAAAGCTCTAGAGAAAACAACTGTCGAATGAGAATCCGAACTGAATGTGTTGAAGGGAAGCGGAATGATGCGCCATCCGTGAGGTCTGGAGAGAAGAACCAAAGAATGATTTCCGACAAAGTGAAATCACCGATCTTTGAGATGCATTTAACTGCATGGATATTTGCAGACATGTGGGGAAAATGGTGACCAAAATCATTTACTTAAAAGTGAGCGGGTTTTGCTCGCTGAACCACATTTTCTCTTTTGGTGAAACGTTTACTCAGAAACAACATANGATCTGGCTTAGCTTATATAAAGTGAAAATAGATGATAATACAAGGGTACTCAAAATGAACGCTGCTGACCGGTTCCTACTTTCTATGTTAATCAAGCTGTACATGCTTCTTTATTCTCCCTAGTGAGACAGCACCTTGACGTGGAATGATGGCTTGTGTGTCTCCATCACCCTGCAAGCTATACCAGATGGCTCATCAGAGCCGCAGATCCAACCATGCCCGAAAAGTCAATGGATAGAGGCCAGAGGAAGTTCTGTCTCATCAGGTCAGCTGCTTAGGCACCTCCTGGTTTCCTTTAACTATTCACCCTCGTCCCAGGAAATGTCACTCCAGCAAATAAACACGGAGATGGGCAGTTTACCGATCAAAACACCCGCTAAATGGAACTGGGAGTGGGATATCTGAGGCTCCCTCTCGACGGTGGGAGAAGTCTTCGCACTCCATTGGGCAGCTACCGCCCCCAGGCAAGAAGGCGCAGTCCCGTTCACGCAATGCTTATTGGATGCACGAGGTTAAGGACCGATTCCAAACAGTGCAGCGCCGATCAACGTACCAGCGAACAATACACGGAATCGAAACCCAAAGACCATACGTGACAGGTCTTACAAACGGGTGCTCCGGTCACGCTCCCGCGTTGGATCTATGCCACATTGTCTTGTGGGTTGGGCTTTTGAATCGAAGGTTCCGATAAGGGGTTCCTCAATGAAAACCCGCGAATTCCCGCTGCCTTGTGGGCCAAACTTTTGAGATAAAAGCTCCAGTAAGGGTTCCCATAAAAAACTTCTTCGTCACTGTGGGCTACCGCGGATTATATCGTGCCCTGGTCTTGGATAACCATTTGGAAAAACTACCCTCATTTGTCGAGTTTTACCGTTCGCTCCCGACTAATCCCAGATACCTCCTGTTTACGCCACCCATCGGATACTATTCAGCCTTTTATCAGTAAGGTCAACCAATCAGAGGCATTAGGATTGTTCAGGCCGAAATTTCGGTTTCGCCGAGCCGTGTTCATCGTCTAGATCGGTCAATAAGCTGGCTTGAAACATTCAATTAAGAACTATGTTGTTTCTCCGAAACATGCCAACAAGACCCTACTTAAATCATGTCGCCGCGTTTTCCTGACACAACCTCATTCTCAGGCGTCTCCCTTCGTATGTCAGACAACTCCACATCCGACGATCGCGATGCTGCTGATTGCGCTAAGTACCAAGGCTGAGGGCTTATTTCTTGAGTAGATTCTAGAAAGTAGCCGACTGTACGCTGTGTCCCAACAGTTCAACATGGGACAACAGCCATTGTACGAAGCGGCGATGCTTAATTGTCATGGCGGTGTATGTACCGACCAACCGCAGTTGACCTGAAAACAAGCATGAATTCGACAAAAATCTTTCTCAAATTATTCTTAATTGTTCGATCGACGGACGTTTTAGTAGTCGCCAGAGACTTCACTCCTTAAATCGGATCCCTGGAAGAATCAGAATGCCCATTCGGCTCAGAAGCAATCCCAGACAACCGGACGGACAACAGAGATCGGGTACTTCAACTCTGCGCGCTGTACTGATTAGAACTCCAACTTCACGCAAAAGAAACATCACCTTACATGAAAACCCCTTACATATTCACAGCGATGACCTCAAATTGACCACATGACCACCAGCTACCGCTGGCGGGGATTCATTCAAGACTGCCGCTCTCATTGGACATAAATCACGCTCTGTTACGAGTCAGATTCCTCTAAGTCTGGGTGGTCAAGCTAAGACCTGGCATGAGGGTATGAAAATCCTAACTAGGAGTCTGAGTCACATAGGTCCCATTAGGCTCTCCGACTGGGGACCTCGGGATGGTCGTAACCGATGGTTAGAAACACTGAGTGATATGCCTGGGTGTCGTAATCAGTGGCGTTCGTGCATCTTCTCAATTTCTGTGCATCATTAGTCCACTGAATTTCTCAATTTTCTCTTCGATTCTACTTTCAACCATCTTGTTTTCCTCCTATTGTTCACCCAAATGGGCAGCCAAAAGACAGAAACCAAAAGCGTCGCTCGGAAATGTTCAGTTCAGTTCAGTTCTTACCACCATTAATCATGCACTTTCGTGCGCCGGTTTTGGTTGCTGTC